TATATATGTATCATCATAAGATGATCGAAATTAAAAACGATCCTACGTGCTGTGAGTAATAATTGAAACGAATGAAATGCACGTAAAATGATATCAGGGAATTTATGAAGGTTCGGACGGATCATCGATCCTTCAATGTCCACGCAATAGTATTATTCCTATTATTAGGATAAGTTAATTGAAACGAATCGTTGTTAACACATGTACAACTAATGTATCATACTTCGAGATAATTTATTGAATCCTTGACGCAAAGTCGACCGACTGCATAAGAGTACAGTTAAGAATAATTTGCTCCAATTTGTATACTTGATTTTTTTTTGTAAAATAATAAATAATAATAATAATGATAATAATAATAATAATAATAATAATTATAATATATTAAGTTAAGAATATAATATCTGTTTTTTTTTTTTGCTCATGTATTGTATCTACTAATTTTTAAATTTCAAAGATGTATAGAAAAGAAGAGAAATAATAAGAAAGACAAAATAAAATGATAATTCGTTCGATTATTAAAAAATGACATCCATCACGATTTCTTACAATTATTAGTCCAACATTTCGGACGATTCGGCGTTCTGGAGTTTTCTTAAAATTATTGTAGCCGTGATACGACAGTCATTTGTTTTACGAAGTAATCGTTCTAGGGAAATGCCTCGAAACATTCTCAGAATCGTTTTTGTTCGAAGATAGAGCGTTCCAATTGATATCAGCGGGCTGTCCCATCATCATGTACGACGATCGTATACTTTCTATGAGATTTCCTCAAAAACTTTGGAAGATCGTTAACGCTTGTAAAAGTGGTGCAATTCGATGGAACATCGATGGTTCGACAATTCTATTGGATTACAAACAATTTCAAGATGAATACCTTGACGGAGAGACGTCCATTTTCAAAACAAGAAATATCACGAGCTTCATCAGACAATTGAATTTATACGGTTTTCGTAAAGTGACATCGCATAATCGTGATCCTTTATGCAGTTGCTATAATCCAAATGTTCACGAATTCATGCACGAACACTTTCAAGCCGGTCATGTTGAACTTTTATCACGTGTTTGCCGAAAAACTATTGGAAAGAATAAATATTTTCAAAATTTCGGACACCTAAGATACCAAGATGGAACTCCTATTTCGCATTTACGTATGTGCCAGGTAAGACATTTCTCTTTTATTATATGGTTAATCGTTCTATCGACTAAAAAAAAAAATATCTTCTTTCTTTTATTTTTAATACGACATAGCTTGCATTGACCAAAACTTTGGAACAAATAAGTCGCGAATGTCGGGAAAAATCTGCAAACGAATCAACTAGAAGCGAATCCTTCTCTTCTATATCTCCGAAACAAGGTTCTATTTATTTATATATTATTAACCCTTTGACTGTTAGCTACTCTAAGTCGAAACGCTTAGCGGTGTGCGGCCAACAGTAGCGGTCGCTGGGGACTGAATACTTTTTCGGGTAATATGAATCTTGTGAGCGGCGTATTAATACATTGTAATATAATTTATAATCTAATTACTATTACTTTGTCTACTGCAAAACGGATCAAATAATTTTTATTTTTTTTTATGTTTAACATATATTGTTTATTCACCAATAGTAAAGTTTTAAAATACTATATTTTGATAGTTATAAATTATAACTATACATTTACTGTTTTTTTTTTTATAACTTATATAATGTATATATTTGGATATTTGAAAAATTGAACAAATAACAAATAAGTAACATAAGTACTGTAAATCTAAACAAAATGAAACGAATTTAAGGCAGAGAATGACTGACCAAATAAACGAAATTTCATTTTTTTCGTTGCTAATCAACGAGGTTTAAGGATTTCTGCGAGTGTATTGGACATGTAAAAGGGAAACCATTTCCGAGCATACATATAAGACAGCAGTAAACAGTCAAAAATTCGCCCAGCGTGCATTTGCATCCATAGTCTATTTCGATGGCTTGCGTTGGACGCATATTTGAGCCCATAGCAGTAGTCAAAGGGTTAATGTTATCGTATTAAATTATTTTCTCTCTCTCTCTCTCATGCTTTTCTATATTATAAATAAAATTATTTCTATTTCAGAATTGCCGGAATTTAAACTTGTTTCGATTCCACAAAATGATCATTCTCAGGAATATCTAATAAAAAATGGAATGCACTTTTACTTAAAAAGAAATTGCACTTCGATCGATAACAATAACATCTACAACAAGAACAACGTTCCACAACCTTGGTTCGTTCCTAACACACATAATTTTGCTTTTTACATGCCTCCAAATAATACTAAGTAAACCTGATTGATTATTAGATATCATTCTTTGTTTCCTTACATATATGGACAAGTTCGTTCAATGTTCTAAAAAATGATATTGTCATAATATATATATAGTGTTTTTTACATTATGTTATATAAATATATATATATCTGTTAAAATATTACCTCTTACAGTGACTAAATGAAACAATGTTTTATTAAAAGAGATACTTTAAAAGTTTAAAAAGTAAAAGAATTATTATTGTTTTGTACGCAGAATATAAACTATGTATGTACATCAGTGCTTCAAAATACAAATCATTTGTATGCAATATATTAACAATGTTTTTTGCTTATTTTAAAATATAAAATAAAAATGACATTTGAACATAGAATATAAATTACATACTTTCATCACTAGTACTGAATTATTCTTGTTGATTCGTAACTTTTTTACTAATTTGTTCTTGTTTATGCCTTTCTAAAAATGTTTTAAAAGATTCGACTTCTTTCTGTTCTATTACATCATCATCATAAGTATTTTCTGTGCCCTCCTCATCTTCACTTGATTCATTGCCAGCATGTTTTAAATATATATCTGAAATTTCTCTACCACTCTTTACGGTTGTTACAAATGATGTTGTTGCCACTTCATCACCTGTTTTAGCATTTTCTAGCGCTTCCTTTTCCATTGTTTTCCTTTCAGTTTCTCGCAGTTGCTTTAATTTCTCCCAATTTGGTTTGTACTCGCTTAAATTATATAAAAAATATATTAGTAATTTTTTTTTTGTTCACATTGTTTTTTTCTTTTTTTTTTAAATTAAAATATATATATACATACTTTTCATATTCTTTAACCGCATCTTCAACACGTTCCAAAAATTCGGTAATACCAACACCAGTAACAGCGGAAACTCCGCAATGGTGTAAATGAGAATAAAATTCATCGAGAGTAAGAGCCATACTTCTTGTCAAATTACTGATATAACTAGTTTCGGAATTAAGACTTTCTTGAAAAGCTTCAAAATCTTTCATCCAATCTACAGCGAAACTGCAGTCGACAACGTCAATCTATAAATAAATTAATTACAATGATAATTTTAATTGTACTTAATATTAATATTATTTCTTCTTACCTTGTTCATAGCAACGATAAATGGTAATTTTGTTTTGTATAATATGGAACACGCATAGAGCATATTTGACATAAATGTAACAGGATTATAACTACGCACTGTATCTAACACATATACAATAACAGTTGGAAATTGAGATGCCAATGCTTCTGTTATAATTCTACCACTAGCAGACCAGGTAAATACTTCTATTTGTCCTGGGGTATCAAAAATCACATAATCATGTTCTTTACCCGCTTTATCGATAAACTCCATGACTTGATCAAATTTTGTAGTATATAAATTTAATGTTGTAACTATACCACCATTTGGACCTAAGCCATATTGTTTCATAACTTCTTTGTAATTAACGGTATCCCTTATATCTGAAATTTAACCATATCGTAATTCATTAATTGAAACTGTTCTATATTATATATACATAACAATGCATTTATATAATAATTACCTATATTAGCAGGATAAGGAACTTCTTTACAAGCTGGATCTAAATTGATAACATAAGGTTTTTTAATACTGTACAAAGTAGAAACAACTCTTTGTACAAATCTGGTTTTTCCAGAACCAGCCATCCCAAGAACTATGATACAGGTTGGCTTTTTTCTTTGTGAACCTTCACCTTGTACTTCACTTGATTCAAGCGTTTCATTTTCTGTTGATTGGGACATTTTTATATCTACACATAAATATTTTTATAAAATACACGTATTTATATATGTATAAAAATAAATAACCAAATCATTCAATTTCAAATAAAATATATACTTACATTTAAGGAATCTCTTGTCTAACCTCAAAATTAGTATAAACTGTCTGTAATGTTTAACCACGAATTTAACTTATAAATTTGTAAAACAGTCGTTTATATCGATAAATTTTTTATAAATTATCACAAATTTCACGTTATATATGTATAACAATACATAAAAATTTGATAAAACAATTACCGCGTTATGATATCCGATTTATAATTCGAATTACGATGCACAGATTAAAATAACGTGTTTTGTATACTGCTGGTATTTTCGTCTCTAAATCGAACTATTGTGTATTGTTAGAAACTATCTATCGATATCACTATTTGCGATAATCGATTTACGACGTGTTCTAGGGACTTAATGTCATCGATGCGCGTCGAAATGCGCAGAACAAGAGCGCCAAAAATATCGTATTCAAATATTCTCATTTCTAAAAGACAAAATATAAACATTATATCACATTCTTTCGATCTCTTTCCATTATATATATTTCATTTTCATCTTATAAAGTTAAGAACTTTATATAAAATAAAAATTTATACCATCTTAAATTTTTTATTACTTATTGAAAAGTATAAATGTATATATAATTTTGTTATTGTTATTTCTCTGATATGAAAGTAAATTCAACAAAATGATTATTTTCTTCAGTTTAAATTGTGAAGAATGCAATGAAATTTGACGAAAAAAGAAATATTTTGAAATAAACTATTTGCAGAGAAATGTAGTCTGCATATGTATTTATATTCATTGCTTCCCTTGTAGGGTTCAAGCGCATAATTTGTATGTACTTTTGGTTTCTTTCTATTTAGATGCAGTACTATTCTTATTATTAAAAACACAAAAATCTGATCTAGTTATACTAATTTAGAAACTTACATATTTAACATCTTTTATATCAGAGTATGTATATAAAAATAATTATTATTAAATCCACAAATTAAGTTGCTTTAAAGTGGTCATCTGTACATGTGGTATAAATATGACCTTCGGATATTAGAAAATGGATGATATTATCAACATCACGTAAAATATGTGAAGGTGTACGAGCTCTCACTACACTTCTTTCAATTCCAGAATCACTGGTATCAGCTTGTATTATATTAAATATTGCAGCTTGTTCTGGACTCATGCCAGAGCAATCATTAGCAATTTTCGAATCATCATCATCATTAAAAGGAGCATTATTTGAATCTTTTCCTTTAAATAATTGTTCCGCTTTTAACGTTACATAAGTGACTTCTAACAAGTGATTGGTTAACTCGTTGAGTTCTTCAAGAGGTGATATACGCAATACAAAAATTTGCTTAGTTCCATTCTGTTCACGCAGAAGACCAACTACTCTGACATAACTATTTATTTCCAACGATGGCTCTGGCATTACTTTATTTGCTTCTAACCATCGAACAGCTGTGATTGCACCTGTAATATTTGTTTTATAATTTTAATAACTATTATTATGTTTAGTTTTTATTTATTTTACTTTCTATATTAACCTGTTTCATCTTCAATTTCATATGTGATCTTAGTTGTAGATTCATTAACGTTGCGTAGTATGCCAAGAATTGTAATCATACGTGCTGGAACTCCCCAAATTTCAAAATCGCCAGAAGAACGTAATATTTGTCCTATCATTACAGGAATAACATTTTGTACTCTTTTCAAATTCTTTTCGCCAGAAACCGATAGTGTGTCGTTTAGAAAACCACCCTTGCTATTATCCATACTTGTATCCATGTTTGCGGTTATTGTATTATTATTATACACTATTTTTATAAAAATATCTGTATAAATTTGATCAACTCGTATATAAAATGATAACAATTATGATATAAAGTAGATTTTTTTTTCTTTCCGGCTAAATATACTCTTTTAAGCAAGAAAACAACAAATTAGGCAGTTACGATTTTGTATAAATTCGATGACAGCTCCATTGTGGCTACTTTATGAATTATTTTTATTCACTAAAATCTAACTAGAATTGAAATAGCGTATTGCATGGTAGCAGAGTAAACCTCAAAATCATGACAACTGCGTACAATAATTACAAAAGTGTTATAATTATTTAATGATGGACAAAATATTAACCAAAACATTACAGTCCAGTCGTTATTTAGCTTATAGATCATTACCAATTAGTCAATCAAGTTTAAAGTAAGTTACATAAAATATTTAAATCAGAATGTTGAGAAATATAAGAAATAATATTAATAGAACAATTTCATTAATACAAATACAAAATTATTAATTTGATATATTTTATGTTTATACTTAACATTTTACAGGATCTTAAATAAAAACGTTGTGAATTTACATACAGATTTACAAAATTCTAAATCAAGGCAACATGTTCTTTGCAATAAAAACAAATATAATTTATCACAGTTACAAAAACGTAGCATGTTTATTCAAACCCAGGATACTCCTAATCCAAATAGTTTAAAATTTCTTCCTGGCGTTAAAGTGTTAGAAGGAGGTGGTACTAAAGATTTTCCAAATGCCACTAATGCTTATTGTTCACCACTTGCAAAAATGTTATTTCGTATCGAAGGAGTTAAATCTGTATTTTTTGGTCCTGACTTTATTACAATAACTAAAGCAGATGAAGATATGGAATGGGGTATTTTAAAACCAGAAATATTTGCAACTATTATGGATTTTTTTGCAAGTGGATTGCCAATATTAAATGAATCACAACCTCCACCAGATACACGTAAAAAGACACATTTTTTTCTAAGTTTACAAAGAATAATTTTTACAATAAAAATAACTATAATAATATTATTTTAATTTTATAGAAATTAATGAAGATGATGATGAAATTGTTCAAATGATAAAAGAACTTTTAGATACACGAATACGTCCTACAGTACAAGAAGATGGTGGTGATATTGTTTTTATGGTAAACATAATTTACAATATTTAAATAACATGACTTTTTTCAATTTTACAGATATTTAAATTGATTTCGTTGCAGGGTTTTGAAGAAGGTATTGTAAAACTTAAAATGCAAGGTTCTTGCACTAGTTGTCCAAGTTCTGTTGTAACATTGAGAAATGGAGTTCAAAATATGATGCAGTTTTACATACCAGAAGTATTAGGTGTCATACAAGTTGAAGACGAAACTGATAAAGTAGCAAAAAAGGAATTTGAAAAACTAGAAGAAAAATTACAAAAGTCGTCATCGAATAATGACAATAACAAATAATTTTTCTCAGTCGCTTCACTTTATATATAGTTGACAAAATACATATATTGTGCATAATTTATAAATCATACGCAGATCAATTATAGTAAAAATACTATGTACATTGTTTAAAAAAAAAAAAAAAAAAAAAAAAAAAAAAAAACAAATAAAATAAATATTTAAAATGAGAAAAATATATTGACGTTTACATTTTTTTTTATTTTTCTACTTTTTTACAAAGTATTAGCGGCTAGATACAGAGACTTGCCATACGCGAATAGTATTGTCGGAGTAACCTGCGAACAATGTTTGTCCATCAGTGGACCAAGCAAGGGACAAGCATTGAGGTGGTTCTGCTTTACTGGTTGCAGATACAACTTCAGGTTTTAATTCCTCAACCATTTCTTTAGTCTCAAGATCCCAAATCTTGATCCATGGTCCAAATGCAGCACAGAGCCAGTAGCGATTAGGGCTAAAGCAAAGTGCAGTAATGATGTCATTATGATCAAGAGTATGGAGGTGCTTGCCGTCATTCAAATCCCACAACATAGCTTTGCAATCCTAAAAACAAACAAATTTATGTTTAACATAAGTTCACATCGTATTAATAAAACAAATATTTTATTATAAATTAATTCGTTAGGTACCTTTCCACCAGATGCACATAATGAACCATCTGGAGAAACAGTAACTGTATTGAGATATCCAGAATGTCCATTATGGTTGATCTTTAGTCTGCAGTTTGTCAAGTTCCATACCTGTAAAAGATTAATCAATCAATAAAACAAGAATATTTATGAATTTTTAATATGTAAATGTAAACATGAATATTCAGTCCCATATCCGCTAACCATTCATAGATATCATGGTGTTAAAAGGTTCATCATTTAAAATAAATTTGATATAACACATAACATTTTTATATTATCTTTTTTTAGCATACCTTAACAACGCAATCCCAGCCAGCAGATACAATAATAGGATTGGAATGATTTGGAGAAAAGCGTACGCAGCTGACCCAATCCGTATGTCCCTCATCTTGAATGGTATATTTACATTCTGCCAATGTATTCCACAACTTGATAGTCTTGTCTCGTGAACCCGAAACAATTTGTCGATTGTCTACAGAGAATGCGACACTCAGGACATCCTAAGAAACAAACGTTGATTTTTTTACTTATACAATTATATTTGAAACATTTGTTAACCCTTATGGAACGATATAATAAACGGGCCAATACTCACAGTATTGTAGGTTTAGCCCACCTCTTCTATATAATATACAAAATAAAATATATAAAAAAAAGCTTCAGTTAATTCCCAATTTGATGTACCGCCAGTATACCCCACTCTCAGAATAAGAGCCCCACCTTGGTATGATCTTCAAATCTCCGAGTGGTCCTGCCTGCAGCTAAGTCCCAAAGGCGCAAAGTTTTGTCCCAGGAACCGGATAGTGCATAATTTCCATCGGAAGATAGAACAACATCGCTGATAAAATGTGAATGACCGTATAGACGCTTTTGAGGAATACCGTAGTTAGCGTCATCACGTGTTAACTTCCACACAATTAATGTTTTATCTATAAATGTAATTAAAATGTTAATGCATTATTATTTTAACACGTAGAGCCAACGTTGCATGCAGGCGTGGGTTGTTTGAGCGGCCATTACTCGCTACGATATAGACAAACCGCCAAATGGAAAGATAATGTATGGCAAACAGCACGAATTTTAGATATTTTATATAAACAAAATTATGTTCTCTTAAAAATTAGATTATTAATTGCACTTTTGAAATACGTCATAACACGAATGAATATCAATATAAGTTATTACAATAAAAAGTATATATAAAAAAGTAACACCAATCTAACAGATGACTTACCACGTGAGGAGGATAAAATCATATCCGGGTATTTCGGATTTGTCGCAATTTGCGTAACCGAGCCATTATGACCCCGAAGAGTTCCCCTTAATTGCAGAGTTTCAGTCATCTTAAATGCAATTAAATTTTTTTAAATCAAAGATGTATTCGGATTACTTGGACCATCCGCTCGTGTTGAAATGTCGAGCATAAAAGACTAGTCGGAAACAGGCAACACGCATTCAAGCATAGTACATGAATACATAGAGAGCAGAACTACTTGTTATAATATTCTGATGATATATAGATACAAATATATAATACAACAATCACTCTATTAACATTTAAAGAATTTATTTTATAAATAAATAAACATTAAAATCGATAAAATAATTATTAAATATCGATTTTGTTTTTAATCGATAATAATTAGAAGAATAAAAACATGTCGTAATAGCGCGAATTTTAAATTTGTAACTAAGTCATTAAAATATGTCTTAAATAATAGAACTAAAATATAATGAAAGATAAAATATAAACGCAATATGAAATATTATATAATATAAGATACGAAATTGTAATAAAAGCTAAAGAGTTTTGATAATTTTTGTAATTGCGATAATATACCTAGTGCATAGTGCATCTAAATTCCGCTAGGAGGCATTGACGACGCTTGGCAAGCTATCAACAGCATGCTTTACTAGTTTCTTGTATTTTATAGTAGTAAAGAGATGAAGCACGATTGGTGAATGAATCGCATGGGTGGATCTTGTAAGAGTTTTGAAGGTGTAAGTACGTGAAAGGGGATAAAGAAAGTAATAAAAATAGGGTCATTGAAATCAGTAGGACAGAATTTAAAAATAACATTTACTCATGAGAGTTTGACAATTTATAATGATGTGGTTTGTATCGATATGGATCCTCCTAAATGTCTGCCAAATAAATGCTTTCAATTTGGAAACACAAATACCTGTTGTTAAAAGAGGATTGAATGGTTCCTACTTCGGTTATTCGGTAGCCGAACATCAAGAAATTACTGAGGATGGTACTGGAAAAGCTAAAAGTTGGTTAGTAATTTTCAATGATCTTACTGATGAAATTTTATTTAAAAATCAACATCGTTTATTATGTCTCTTTCTCATTTTTTTTTTTCAACTCTAAGGACATTCAGATAAGAAGTGAGATAAGATGAATGTAAACATGACACTATCAACTATTATTATTTAGCATAATCAAATTTGAGTTTATTTAAAATGATATATCACGTGGTACTGATGCTGATTTAAAATAAAATAAATGATTCATTTTTTGTAATAAAATTAATAAAACTGTATAATCTTTAATAGTAATGTATTATAATATAATATTTTGTAGGATGTTAATTGGTGCTCCATTAGATCAGAACAGACAACCAGAAACAAATAGATCTGGTGCATTATGGCAATGTCCATTAACGACATATACGAGGGATTGTATTCAAGTTATTACAGATGGACGATCAAGTATGTTTAATTTTGGTTATATATTTTTATTATAATATTGATCAGTAGTAATTTATAATTAATGTTCATTTATCATTGGTGATGGAAATTTTCAAAAGAATCTATTGTGTATTATGTTTATACAGGATGTCCTGTAACTGGTGATAAAAATGAGTAGGGGATGATTATACATGAAATTAATTTAATTTTTCATGTACAATCATCTTTTGTTTACTTGTATCACCAGTTATAAAAAATTCTGCATATAGGAAAATTATTTGTACATTATTATAAACATAATGGCTAGTATGTGGTCTAACTGTTTATTAATTTGATAAAGCATGTAACTCGTAAATTTGTGGTACCATGTATAATGTAAAGTATTCTTTTCATTATTTTTTTTGTTTCTTTGTTTAATTTTATGTCAGTTGTATAATAAGATTATTTTTTGTTAAATCATGTTTTGGTTAACCAGCAGCAGAGGGTGGTCTGTATGATTCAAGTAAGTGAAACAAAACAGATGTGACAGAATGGTTGAATGAGAAATTCTTCGAACCTTATTTTTTTTTTTTTTTACTTTTTTTAGATTATTTTTTGAGTATTTTTATGAATACTTTTTTTCTTTTTTTGTTAATTTTCAATGCTTCGATAGGAATACTTCGCATGAGGATTAACTGTATAATATTTATCTTTGTTGTAATTAATACTGTTTCTTCATCATTTCTCTTTCTATATTACTAAACCATTTGCACGTTATGTGTATGCCATAAAAATGTCATAACTCTGTAAATATGGAAAATTTCATTTTTCCAATGACCAATTACATCATTAACAAGCATTATTTTAATCTATGGCATGTAAAATGATAAACATATTTTGTGTGATTTATAACAGGGACAAATTTGAGAAGCCCTGATTTTTATTGCAGTATACTTCAACTAGTTTTAGTCCCAGGAAGATATTTTGTTTGGGAAAATAATATTGTTTGTATAAATTAAACAAAAAGCTTTCAATTATGGTTAAATTTATTGAGTTTTTTCCAACATTAAATTTAAAGAACTTCTTGGGACTAAAACAGTAATTATTATGATTATTAATTATTAAGAAAAAGTCAAATACTTTTTCTCTAACTATAACTATTTAAATAAATATTGTAATAAGATATTAAAACAACTTTGATTACAATGTAAATCATTTATACTCAATCATATTTTTCTTCATTTCATTTGAAAATCTTTGTGTATTAATAATATTAGTAAAGTACTAACACATGATTAATTTTAATAACAATTATAATAATAATTATATATTGTCATAACGAATTAAAAATATTTTTATATTAAATGATCTGATTTTTCGTATAGGTATACTGCATACGTTCAATTTTTCTTTTTCAACATGATAAATATATATTTTTTTTTAAATCCTGCAAAAAAAGAATTGAACACAGTTAAAAAGAAATATGTTTTATGGTTTGTTTTCTGATTTATAAAGAACAATGGTATATGCAAAAATTGATAAATAAAATAAAACGATAATGTTATTATTCTAAAGTTTCTATTTCTAGGTTTTGATTCTGATGATTTAGTTCCTCCTGGTAAAGATGAAATAAAAGATAATCAATGGTTAGGAGTCACAGTGCGTAGTCAGGGTGTTGGTGGTAAAGTAATGGTGTGTGTTTATAGCATTTTATATTATTTCATTATCATTTAATGTAACTAACAACATATTTTTACTAATACATTTCATTAAAGGTATGTGCTCATCGACACATTGTTAAAACTGCTGATTCTCGATGGGGACAGGGTCAGTGTTATATATTGACTCAGGATTTAAAATATCCAGATTTAAAAAAACCATGCTCAGGAAAACCTACTAATAAGTAAGATATATAATAACAATGAATTATATTGTTTTATTTAGTTTTGTTATTTTATTTTGTTTTATTTTTATAGAGCACATGAACAATTTGGATATTGTCAAGCTGGTACAAGCGGAGTATTTACTTCTGAAGATCGTGTGGTGATTGGTACACCTGGACCTCATACATGGAAAGGAACGTTATATCTTTTTACTGTCTCTGATGAATTTTTAAGTAGAGACAATACTGTTTACAATGTTCCAATGCAAGATAATTCACCTGTTAACAAATACAGTTACTTAGGTCAGTACTTAATAATTCATTTGTATTATTTACACACAAGTCTCTTTAAATAATTTCAATTATATTATAAATCAATTTTGTAGGTATGTCAGTTGCTGTGGGTAATTTCTTTGGAAATGGTTTGGCATATGCTGCTGGAGCACCACGTTCAAAAGGTACAGGACAAGTTGTTATTCTCACAAGAAAAGAGAATAAACCTGAGATGGATGTTGTTTTAATCTTAAGTGGTGAACAATTTGCTTCAAGTTTTGGATATGAAATTACTTCTGCCGATGTTAATGGAGACAAGTAAGAAGAAAATTTGTTATAATGTATATACACATTATATTGCTATTATTCAAAATTATTTATTTTTTAGAATTACAGATTTAATTGTGGCAGCGCCATTTTATTTTAATAAAGCGGAGGGTGGAGCTGTATATATTTATACAATGTTATGTAAAAATATTAAAGATAACGATAAATGCAAGCCCGTTAAATTAGTCGGACGTGAAGAATCAAGGTTTGGTTTTGCATTAACTAATTTAGGAGATTTGAACAAAGATGGTTACGAAGATATTGCTATTGGTGCTCCTTATGAAGGAAAAGGAACAGTGTATATATATCTTGGATCTAAAAATGGAATCATTACAACACCATCACAGGTATTTAAAGCAATTAGATCTAAAGTTATTCAATGTTCATAAATGAGATTAAAAATAATTTTATTTATAGATCATTCATTCGGAAGATACTCCAGTACCATTACGTACCTTTGGATATTCATTAAGTGGAGGAATTGATATGGATCAAAATGGTTATCCTGATTTATTGATCGGTGCTTATGAAGATGATGCTGCTGTACTCTTACGTTCCAAAAAAATTATTGACATTACCACGTATATTAGTTATCTTAAAAAAGATGGGACATATCAAGACAAGATAGATCCCATTGATCCTAATAAATTAGGATGTGCTGCACATCCTGATGCAAATCATACATGGTATATATCATTTGCAAGTTAAAGAAATACGTGCATGATTAAAGTTCACATTACTATTCAAAAATGATTATATTTTTTAGCTTTTCATTTGAAGCATGTTGTAAAACAGAATCTTTGGTTAAAGAAGAAGACATGCAAAATTTACGATTAAATTATTTCATAGAGGCTGAGACATATTCTGGTGTTAAAAAATTTTCTAGAGTTTGGTTTGGCGTTGGTAATACACGTCCTCATTATGTTAATCGTACGGTTACTTTGGATACAAAAAAATTAATACATTGTCAAACGGAAATTGTGTACTTAAAGGTAGGATATTTTTTAACGAAATATAAAAATGTATATATAAAATATTCGAAATATTAGTTAATTAATATAAAAATGATTTTTTTTTTTAAGGAAAATACTCGTGATATCCAATCGCCCATTAAGTTCAGATTAAATTATTCATTGATACAAGAAGAACCAATGATGCATGCCGAAGGAGATTCATTACCTGATATTAAAAATTATCCTATTCTTAATCAGCAGGAAGCAGCTCGTATATTTGAAGCAACATTCCAGAAAGATTGTGGAAATAATGATATTTGTGAAAGTGATTTGCAAGTGTATGCTCATTTGAATTTATCAGGTTTGTATTTGTCAATTAATTTATGTAGTTTTAATTTGTTTATGTATACCTTACACATATTGATTTTGTTACGTTTGAAAATATATCTAAATATGTTATAATTATTTTCAGTGTCGTCAGTTAAGCCTAATTTCTACGAATTACTTCTTAGTGAGAAAGAAGAAGTAGTAGTTGAAGTTAACGTAACGAACGTTGGTGAATCAGCATACGAGGCACAACTTTTCATAACTCATTCGCAAAATTTAAATTACATTGGCAGTAAAACCAATGATTCTGTAATTTGTAATTTATACAATGCCACATTGGTAGCATGTTCGATTGGCAATCCATTTAAGAAAGACAAAATGGTGAACATACAAGTACGATTTGATCCTACTGGTTTAGAAGACAATGAATCATTTTTAGATTTTGTAATTTTTGCTAATTCGACATCGAAAGAAGTGACGGAAAAGAAACCAACACTATTACAGGCCACTGTACTAAAGAGAGCTGAGTTATCAATAAAAGGGTAGGTTTGTTGTAATCTACTTATTATTATTTATTATATATTTATGATTTAGTTTGTGTATTAATATTTGTTTATTAATTTAACAGAAGTGCAAAAACTCAATGGGCCTTTTATGGTGGACCAGTTATCGGCGAATCAGCTATAAAACATTTAAGTGAAATAGGACCTAAAGTTTCACACACTTATGAAGTATTTAACGAAGGACCATGGAAGGTGAGTAGCGTAGAAGTGAGAATTTCATGGCCATATGAAGTCGCAAATGATAAATCTCATGGCAAATGGCTACTCTACTTAGAAGAATTACCAACTGTGCAAGGTAATTATATTTTATATCGTTTATGAGAATACTATGAATTATGTATATTTTTAGTAAATAAATAATATTTGTTTAGCTTTAGGTGAAGGAGAATGTACACTTCCACCAGGTCATTCAGTCAATCCATTAAAATTACAAGACTCTGTTAATTTCGAAGATTTGGATTCAATTTTCCCAACACCATCTACGTCGCCTCCTATTTTATATAATCATACTAATCATATAAGAATGAAACGAGATACAGAAAAAGTTGTTAATACTCGAACTATTGTTGACAAAGATGGGCAAAAACATTATATTGTTTCAATGGTTGGTTAATGAAAAACATTAATTAAATATTAATTTAAACACTAGTTATAATACTAATACATATCATTTTATAAATGATATTTATTTTATAGAATTGTAAAGCGGGAACAGCTAAATGTTTTGATATAACATGTATCATATACAACTTACAACGAAAACAAGAAGCAATTATAACAGTTAAAGCAAGGTAAAATTTTCACATAGTATAATAAATACCATACTTTTGTATGGGGTAGATAAAAGAGTAACTTTTCATATCAATTTTATATTAAAATTTATCTAGACTTTGGAATTCAACATTGGTGGAAGATTATCCGAAAGTAGACATGGTGAAGATAGGTTCCAATGCAAAAATAATTATACCACCTAATGTTGTGATACAACAAGAAAATTTAAAGGATGATCATGCAATTGTAAGTATATTTTATTATTACAATCATTCTTATCGTATTTTCATTTTTAATTAACAAATATATTATATCTATTTGTATTTTACAGGCTGAAACAATTGCATATCCAAATCCTTTAGATCAACAAGATGTAGAGCCTGTTCCTATTTGGATAATCATAGTAGCAGTAGTTGCAGGTTTACTATTATTCATTTTACTTACATTAGTACTTCGAAAATTAGGATTCTTTAAACGAAGACGACCGGATCCTACTTTGTCTGGTAATCTCGAAAAACACAGAGATGATAATCCAGAAAATGAAGCTTTATTTAAACACTGAAAAAACTTATTTAAAGAAAGAAAAAAAACAAAACTAAAACAAAAAAAAAAGCACAAAAAAAAACAAAGAAAACAAAAAATACTTAAAACGTGGTTTTAAAACATTTTCACGATACTTACATTCAGTACTTATGAATAATATATAAAGAATCAATAGCTGACAGCAGCTTTAAAATGACATCAAGGCTGTTTTATACATTTTTTACGTACACTATGTGTATATATATATATAACAGAAGCAGCTATATGAGTATATGCAATTTATTAAAAAAAAAAAAAAAAGAAGAAATTGTGATAATGACTTTTTATATTAACCCCTTGCATTATAATTAAACGATGAAAAATTATGCATTTCAAAGATACATTTCATTTTAATTAATCACTATATATTATAATCTTTTATATAGAAAACATATTATATTTTATGAATTATATAATTTTGTACATATTACAATATGTTTATTGTAACTTTAATCAAATGTAGTTCTCTCGTTATTGTGCAGTTGTTGATCGTAAAAAAAAAATCTCATGACAAGCTAGACTCGTCATTTTAGTGCAAGTGGGTTAAATATTTACTTCTTTTCTATAATAGTGCTAGCACTATTCTTAAAAGATATATATATATATATATATATATATATATATATATATATATTTGTGTATTTACATATTTATGTTTATTACATAGTATTTTTTATTTTGATAAAACATTACACAACAAATATTACGATAGCTGCTGTTAATGTATCACTTATTAATTTATCTCAGTTAAGTACATTGAAATTTTGTATTTACATATTTTTAATCATCAATAATATGTGTTTTACAATGATGTTGCTTTATTAAAATATAAAGCAAAAATTTAACATCATCATTTTGAATCATAGTTTGAACAGTAATATATTAGGTCTACAGAAGACTGCTACAAAATAATAATATTAATTAATTATCATCCATTTATTTACTTAAATAATATTAAGAAGAAGTGTCCATAACGTGTGTATGTATGAGGTAATGATTTGTTTAAGGATACATTTACAGTATGTAAAGTAATTTTTATTAGCCAGATGGAATAATGGCATAACGTTCTATTAATTATATGAATTATGTTGTGCATTGACAGACCAAATGCAAATTAGTTCATTTTTTATTATGAACCATTTTGTATTTAGTTTATTATTTGTATACCAAGAAAACCATTGGTCTTTTAATTAATTGTAAAAGTTTATATACAAGTAATTGTATTGACTGAAATTAGTATGAATATCAATACTAATAATTAACAAGATGGTACACGTGGTTTTTCAACAAATGGCAGCAATAATTTAATTTGTTTTCTCTGTTAATGCATAACTTCTGTCAATAATTTAGAAATGTATTTTAATAATTTTTGTAGATTATTATAACTAATAAGTTACACATTGCCTTATTTACTATTAGAAATTGACGATTTAGAAGAAAAAAGAAAAAATATATTAAGTTAATAGCTTTTGCTAACTTTATACTGCCTTTTATAATGATACTGTATTTTAAAATTTAGAGTAAATTTTTAATTGGCAGTATCATTATATTATATTTAAATATATTATTACTTTTATTACTTAAAGTAACTTTATATATTTATATTATATACACATGATAATAATTAAAAATTTTAAAAACAAAAAAAAACAAAAAAGAATTCTGTATATTAACGTAAGATAAATTTGTTTCTTTTTTTTTTTTTTATACTAAAGAAATGTTATATAAATTAAATATGAAATTATATTTCTTGCAATATTTGTTAATATGAATTATTTAAAGAGTTTTAACAAATTATTTGTAAAATATATTTATATAATATTAAAAACGTAAAAAGACTAGAGATAATAAAAGAGAAGATTTAACTTCTAATAAACATTTGATCATCTTTTTCAAAGTTTGCTAATTATGAGGACGTAAATAAGAGATAAATGTTTTCAATAATTTTTTTTCTTTTTATTTTTTGTATTATGAATACTTATTGGAATTATACAGTATACAGATATTTTAACTTTTCAACTTAAGAAGATTTTTTTGGAGGTATATTTCAGTGTTTCAAGATTACTCTCATGATTCCCTTAAACAAAATACTTTACGTATGACTAGATTCATGAACAATTTGCGTTTGTACATATTCCACAATCATAATAAGATTACATTTTTTATTTCTCAGTTCAATCAGCATCACTGGATTGTATAATACATTTAATGTAAAATACATTGTAAAAGGTCTATATATAAATGCGTGAAAAGACTTGGAAGTATTGCTTATAATAAGTTAAAACTACCATGTGTGTAAAAATCCTAATATAAAATTGCTTTATAAACAAATGCTAATTATTACATTTGCTTACTAATAATATAATGAATTGTTTAACAATAACAAATACTATTTCTGATATTTCGTAATAAACTTTATAGAAAATTTATGTAATAAAAACGTTAACGTTTACATAAAAATAGATTTTTCTTTATGAAGAAAAAAAAAACAACAGAAAATTTCGTATAATTCGATCAACTTTCAATCAATTAATATGATGCATATTTAATATTGTTTTGTTGTAAAACGTCTGTAGATATAAACAGTCTAAAGTTATAAACCTGTAAAAAGAATTAACACAGAGATTTAAGATTCATTTTTTATTTACATTGCTTACAGTTAATATTTTCATACCTGTATATCAGAATAGTTAATGGTGCTGTAGATGCATGCCATAAGGAATGTGCATCGAAAATCCAAAATATTGGTGAAAAATCCAACACTTCTAACAGAGTAGAAAGAACTGCTAAAATATTGAACCAACCGATGAGATAAGCATGTGATAATTCACGTCTAACATTGTACCACCATGACATTGTTATCACAAAAGTTACAAAACCTACAATTAAATATTATAATTAAGTATATACAGAATAATTAGAAATGGTTCATTAACTAATTGTATTTTACAAAACTGTGATGCCACCCGATGAATCATTTTGAATTACATCCTGTATATATGATTTATTACCTATTGCTACATTGAATTTCATGTTGTATCCATAATTAATTGCTCCAGACCATAAATGTGTTAAATGTGTATACAAAATACTCATATAACAACAAGTAAGTATAATAAAAGTTTTAGTATGTTTATACGTTATTCTATAATTAATAATAAAAAGAAAACAATCAATTAATTGTTCTATATATATATATATATATATAAATATAAAATTAAAGGAATTATTTGCAAATAAGTTGTACCTTAATAACATACAATATAATAATGTTAGTACAATAGCAAATGCAGAAGAATAATCCATTACTTCTGTAAAATCTGTGTCACGAGCATGGAATATCGTAGACCAAAACCATCCATTAAGACATATCTAAAGTATTACAATTAACTATTATATATTAATTATATAAATTTATGATAGTATTAAGTTGTATTAAAAAATACAAATACTCACAAGACTAAAATATGTCCAAACATAAAACATCGGATATTTGGAATTAACTTTTTTTTTAAATTTCCAATACGACACCCAATGTGCATAGAAATTTAATATTGAAAACAAAACAGAAGCTGGTTCTTGGAATCCAAAAATTCGTATAAATGGCCACTATGATTAAATATATAAATACATTGAGTTTGTCTTATCTAATTTTTGAGTGTTTTATAAATGGAAGATATATAATTCTTATTTTTTAATTAATAATCTTTACAACTTACTTTTCCATTAAATTGTGGAACCCTTAAACCATGACTTACAAAGTAATCAACTGTACGCCACATACACATGTATTTACAATCCTCAATACAAGACCAAGATAATAATGAAAGAGATAATGGTGGTGGATTATTAAAAGTTACATCTGTAAAAAAAAAAAGAATGTATTAGAAAGATTAATTCATTAGCATTTTATAATATCAGAAAGAAATTCTTATATAGATATGTTTCATAAATTAAATTAAATAATAAATCAAATTTAAATTCTAACCATAAAAGAATATTTACAATACTTACTATTTTGACAATGATTTTTAAGATATTTTATAAGACATTGATTGTAAAATGGTGCTTCGTCTCCTATCGATGCAATTACGTTTGTAAAACAACATATCTGAAGAAATAAACAAATTACCCATGCCGGTTTTAACATAACGTCAAGTATTGTATAACACAATACGTGTAATATATATATATATATAGAAACTATATTTGATATAATATAATAATAAAGACAAGTAAATACTCGATTAAAATATAAAATGACATCTAGTAATTAACAAAGAATTTAATTAGATAAAATAAAACAATTGAAAATGATGAAATTAAGTATAATATAATAATTTCGTTTGAAAATCGTAATGCATATTCAAATATTGCCGCGCAAAACTCCACATATCGAGATGTGATCACGTTATCACAATCGATAATTGTTTACATGCGATTCGATTTGCACGTGCTAAAATAATATAAAATTTATCATTTTTGTTGCTTTTCATTAATGATTACGTCCAATAAATGTTTATTTCGTTAAAAAAATATTATTGAACGAAATCAGATGTTTTATGATGCTTGTTTTTTCTATTCATATTTTGCAAACGTTTTGTACGAAAGAAAATATTTGCGGAAAATTTTAATTTCTAAAATTTGGCAACACTTGCAATGGAACAAATCTTGATTATTTTGTTCTATGGTTTTCCTGCAAATTCTCCGGTATAGAAATTTTTTTTTTCAAGGTGCGTTTTCCGGTTTTATTTTCCGTCACGCTGCGAACTTGACAGTGTCAAAGATGTAGTACAATTATATTTTAAATGATTATATGAAATTATGCTACGTTCAACTAAGATCAATTTATTCTGAGAGATGTAAGTTTTATAAATTGTACTTTTCAATATTTAAATTAATACATTTCATTCAATTCTGTAGTTAAAAAAAAAAAAAAAGAAAGAAAAGATTTTTATCTTGAATTATAAATTGTTTCTTCTTCTTTTTTTTTTTTTAAATATGTTGTAATAAATTTGTACAATATGCATATAAAAAAAAAAATAATAATAATCATAATATATTAAATTTTTTTTTGAATTATATTTGATTTAGGTATAAGTACAATAGTATGATTTTATGGATTCATGCTTGTGTTACCTGACGTAATTGACAATGGACTCGGCTTTGACTGCAGTAATAAATCATTTCTATAGTCAATACATATATTAAACAATGCTAGCATCATGGAAACGTCGAACATTCACAAGGGATACATATATTTCTGGAGCACCGTGGAACACAGTGGTAATAGAGAACATAATATATAATTAAATTAAATTTTTCTTTTTTTTTTTTTAAATATCATTTATAATAACAAGAATAAAAATATATATATATATAAATCAAACTTTTCATCTTTACAGGATCTGGAGAATATACCTGATGAATAAAAAGTACAAAAACCTATAAGCAAACGCTTATTGAGATTTTAAGATTTTAAACTCAATATTTAAAGTAAGATATAATGGCTATCAATCTTATACTATTTAAATATATATAAACATATATATATATATATTAATGACTAACAACACATCATCATTTCATACAGTTATACAATATGTACCCAAATGTACTCTTGAAATGTTACATGTATTCCTGTGGTGCAAAAAATATCTTCTAACATTTTGTATCTTTTAATCGACGTATGATGTGTACCCAGTATTGTTTGCAAAATTCAATTTGCATAACATCCAACATGCAATATATTCAGTAGATGTACACACATATTCATATATTTACAATTATCAATATGAAATCATGTATTATTATTCATCTTTTTAATTTTCACTTCATACATATTATCAATGATATAGAAAATATAATCATTCGAACGTATTTATCAAATTTATTAAACGATTAGAGATGACAAAATTCATACTACATTAATATCATATATTATGGGTCTCTTTTAGTTCATTTCACAAATAATATTAATATTTTAATCGATAAAATATGTCATCATTTAATAGACAATATTAATGGATTATATAGAAATCTGTAGTAACTTAAAAATACTCATGTGCAATTTTTTAACTATATATTACTTTTGTAATATTAATATATTAATAATCTTTGCAATATGAAATTATTTGATTTTTATTTAATCCTAATACATATATATGTATATACATATAAGTAGGATAAACCAATGCCATTCCTTTAATTTTGAAGAGAATCAAACAAAGATGGTTTGATGATATCAAATTTGAATATTATACTATTTAATATTATTAAATATTATATTTATATATACTATTTAAATATTTAAATGGTAATTACTGTGATGAGTATACTCGTCAATCAGAGTAAACTGTTTAAAGAAAATTTCCCCCAGTTCAGATTAGAATTGTTTCAGGTATAGTTTTTAAAATGTTTTCATGCTCTTTTTATTTTAAAATAAAACAGTATTTATGAGATTTGATCTTGCGAGTTAGCAGTTCGTGAGAGTAACCAGATATCGCGTAACGATAGAAGGTTTGTCAGCTGCACACGTGCAAGACTATTTTTGAAATTGACGTCATTTGTTGCTATTAAACGAAAAAAGAATGTGCAAACAAGGAGCACGTGTTTTCTTCGTTTGATCATTTTTGCGAGTTGATCAAATATTTAGAAATTTCTCTTTGAAAATTTCATTTGAAAACAAAAGTTTTATTTACTTATACGAAATATATACAATTTAATATATAATTATCAAATGAAAATAAAAATAGTTCATTATCATATATCTATGATAATTAAATAATACGTTTAGAGTGAAAAGAACGCAATAACATTTAAAAAAAAACAAAAACAAATTAGCTGAAAAGAACTTTAAAGGTGGGTGTATTTACCACGAAACGAACGAAAATATTTCTCTGTAATATGCTTCGATTGATTTTTGTCAGTTTATTATTGTATTATTAGTTAAAATTAACTACATTCATTTTTATATATTATAAACGTTGTATTGATTTTTTACGTTTGACATGATACAATACACGAATAAAAAATAAAACAAATGGAACATGATGACGTAAAATAAATATTTAATAACGTCAATATAATCATGAAATTAAAATTAAAATTGATTTATCGTAAATGTTCATTGATTATTGATAAATTTTTATTTATTTATATTGTTTGTTATATGTGTATTAATAAATATGGGTAACAAGGGACTTTACAAATCACACATACGTCAAATGAAAGTTATTAGATTCAACGCTTTCGTATACTAAGGAGTTTGCACAAGTCTCGAGTTAATATAGTATCTCGAATAGAGCCTCTAAAACTTGATATAGTAGTTGAAGTTAATTCTACCGTTGGGAATCGGTTCAAACTGAGTTTCCTACCATCATTTTCTAGTGCACCACCGCGACCTGACATCGCTAATATCAAATTTGTCCGAATACGTGCCACATATGTGTATGGGTATATACATATATATATGTGTGTGTATGTATGCATGCTTTTGTCTTATCAAGTTTCATTTATCCTCATAAATATAACAATCTTCAAAGGATTTATTTGATTTCGTTACACAATTAACGACATAACGAATATTACAAATTTACAATTACTCTTTTGTCTATTTGTACATATCTCTGTTAGGTATTACAATTAATTTGATGTAATTAACGAACAAATTGTTTGAACATTTTTTAATTGTTTTTTTATTTCTTTGAATTTTGTTGAAGTGTAAACATCTTTAGAATCAGGGTGATTTGAAATATTATAGTTTTTCCTATTTCCGGTCTCCTCTTTGTGTGGTGCTTCATAGTCCCCACTCCTAGCTACTAAGGGATGTATATGTGTGTGTTTGTATGCGACTGCATACATAAAATATGAAGAAAAGAATATTTGAAATAAATAGAATTAATTCTTTTGAAAATCATATAAACAATAATAGAAATTTTGATTGATTTTTATAAAGGACAATTAGTCAGTCTGACGATGAATTTCAAACAAGACGGTAGGTAAAACTTATGCTCCGTGATTTTCATTGAAATAAAACTTTACCCTCGATTAATTAACAATCATATAAAAAATAACAAATACTCCAATGTATTTTACTTATATTTAAGATTGTTTAAAAACATATACGTTGGTTTAAACATTATATATCTATTGACTTACATTAAATATTAAATAATTTTCAACTGTAATGTTTGTAGATGAAAATTTTATGCTTGAGGTCATCACTGCGCAGGTGTGATAAAAAAATTACATTAGAATACAAAAAATACTTAAATTATAACGTTATAATCTTAAATTATATTAATTAGGTGAATTATTACCGTTGCATACATGCGCAATGTTTGGAAAAGTCATATAAACAACTTTCAATATAAGAATTTTCATAGATGACAACTCGTCAGTCTGAAGGTGAATTTCGAAGAAGACGATACTCCGATCATATAATTCGAGCTTTTAGACATCAATACACATTTCCATTGATTAATTAACAATTATTTTAATATTCTTATACACTTTTCTTATATTATAGCATAATTAAACCCTCGAAGTCATCACTGCGCAGGTGTGATAAAAAAATTACATTAAAATACAAAAATACTTAAATTATAACGTTATAATATTAAATTCTATTAATTAGGTGAATTATTACCGTTGCACACATGCGCAGTGTTCGGAAAGTCATATAGAAATAATGGAATTTTGACAAAGGACAACCCGTCAGTCTGAAGGTGAATTTCGTGGAAGATGGTATACCTAATATATACACAGTGTTTCTAAATTACAATACGTATTCTTTTCGATTATCTAACAGTTATTTTATTATTCTAATACACTGTTTAATTATTTTTCAGATTGTTTCAACGCATATATTAACCAATGCATTGGTTTAAACTTTACATACCTATTGACGTACTTTGAATAGAAAATAATTTGGTTTCTTTATTTATAGGTTCCATAGAACAACGCATAAGTGTATGTGTGTGTGTGTATGATTTTTTAATTATTATATTTTGTTTTATGTACATTGAAAATTATTTATATAAATGTATATAGAGATTATGTATAGATTATATATGTATATATTAAAATTATTCTAGGGTGTGTTAATTTTCAATAGAATCACATCAATGGTACTTAAATTCTATTCGGGTTTTTGGTGGTACTATTATGGTGGGGCCTAAGAGTTAGGCTCTTTCCTTTGAATTATATTCGGATGKKGKCATCKTYAGGATGCACATCCCTCKTGGGTCTTCAGAAGCGGTTACCTCCTCGTGGTTAGACCTGGGCAATGGATATTACTTTCCATGTAATGTTTATCATATTTTTATATGCTATACATTCCATGGCAAGTGAAATCTAGCTAAAGATCGCTTACCATTGATATTGTAATATTAATTGGTTTCTTTCATTTTCCTAATTAATATTATATTCAAATTTTTCTAGTTAATTTCCCTTAAATATTCCCTTCGTATTATATTTCACACAATAATACTCGATTTATTCTGTAGTAACTTTAATCATGTATATTTTTATAATATAATACGAAATGCGGAATGCGGAATGCGGAATGCGGAATGCGGAATGAACGAGCCTCGTGAAAGAGCCTTGTGAACGAGCCTCGTGAATGAGCCTCGTTCACGTATTACACACACCAGTGCCCTATGTTATATATAATAATATTACAATAAATAAACCCTGCATTTATCTTACTCTTGAACATGTGCATCCGTCTGATTCTTTCGAAACCTAATTTTTTGAAGGTATCACTTCTAACACGTGTGATCTTCACACATGATTTTTCTGGATAAAAAAAGAAAAACGGAAGAAAGAAGGAAGAGATAGTTATAGATATAAAGTATTATCAACGGTGTGGTTGGGGGAGGGATGGGAGAGAGGTAGCTTCGAATATAAAATGATCGAGGTAAAAAAAAAATTTATTTTCTTTTGGTTATGACGCGCGACGACGTCTTTTCTTTTCAAAGTCTTTTATATTTTTGATCCTTAGAACTCACGGTGATGAATTTGGTCCTTGGTTCATGTAAAACGTGCAATGGAAAAAAACATCTCGCGAATTGTATACCGAATGTATATATATGGATGTATATGTGTTTGGGAACATACATGTACATATATAGAGATATGCATATTTCCAAGCGTTCTTATACAATACGATTGAATGTGTTATTCGTTTGCATATACCCTCACCCCAACCCCCACGTATGCATATACACGTATACATATATATATATTTTTCGTATCACGAGTTCAATTTACCCCGTGTAAATATTCTGTTGACAATGAGCGTAAAAATAATAATAATAATAATAATAATAATAATAATAAATTAAACGAAATGTTTGTGTTAAAAGAATACGTTTATATTATTTTTATTATTTGTTATACGATTAAATTATAAACAATTTGTGGAAAATAATCAAAGCTTTCGATAAATATCGTAATATGTTAAAAAATTTTTAATGTTTAAAAATTTATTAATGTTTTAATAAAAACATTTTTCTATCTGATATGCAAATTTTTATTATCGTAACGATAAAAATTATCAATCACTTTTTTTATTTCGAATATTAGAAATAATTTGTCACGCGTAGTAACGGAATTACTTTTGGGTCTAATACTTTTGGAGATAACCTATAAGGTACAAAAAAATCTATATATATATATATAACTACGTTAACGTTCCCCCCTCCCCCCACACACACGCAAATGTAGTATTAGGTTAATCTCAAAAAAAAAATCCTTTGAGTAGAATTTTTGAAATTGTGTTACATACTTAAATTGTTAAAGTTTACACCTTGGTGATGCGCCCTCTAGCA